AAAATTGTGCTGCCCAGTGCAGTAGTCTGGGAGCTGACCTTGCCTCATCTCAAACACTACTGTACTAATGCAGCTATAGAGCTTCTAGTGTTGAAACCTAGATTCCTGGCTGGCTGTTTATATACAGAATATGACTATGTGGTACAATGCAAGTCTAAGTGGCCAAGTCCAATGCAAACTTCCCAACTCTAATTTGAAAAGACCCTTTCTCTTAAACAAAAATCCAATCCTTGGACATATTAAGCCACAGTGATTGAGAAGTGAAGATAAAAAACTTAAATTGTAGCTGCTATGTGACATGAGATTAAGGGATAATTCTATTTAGAAAATGATCCACAACACTGTTGTGAAAATACAGAGGAGGAAGGGGCCACACTGAAGGTCAACATGAAAGGGCAGCAAGATAAGTTAGAGTGAGAAGCCTCCCTGGACATTCCTGGGAAAAGAAATCATACCAGACCTATACAGCCAGGCAAGGCCTGCTTTCATTCAAAGCTATGTACAACAAAAAGGAATTTCAGTAGCCTAAAAAGAGTCCACAGATAGTAATAGCATAGGTTTCCCAACAGAATAAACCTTCCCTCTGGCCATCAGCTCATTATCAATTCTCTGCACTTCAAACATCCATATGCACAAGAGTTATAAGATTTGTCTAGGAAATGAGTAAATTCACATATCCCCTCAGCATATTTTGAAGTAATTGGTGGAAGAACTACACCTACATAGAGAACTGCAGGATTAGAAAAAAGTTAGCTGCCACCGATAGCACTGACCCCCACCTCAGACCCAGCATAAATTAAGGTAAATGCTGCTATGACTGGCACCTGGTTAACAGCTTCTCCAGAAACCATTCTGTTCATGGGGGGCAGAAGCAATCCTAAAGCATAGGCTCCTCCATAGGAACTGGAATGCCTGCCCATTCCACGAATGGCAGCTTCTCTCAGACGAGCTCTTCCTAGAAGTGTGACAACATGGGAAGTTAAGGAAATTAACTAAAGATGTGAACAGAAAGTACATTAGATAGAGCACATTAACCTTCTGTATGAATGCTGGCTTAAGCTTAAGCTAATTTTCCGTGTATATGTTCCCTACATTTCCAGTCCTTTACAAAAGCACACCTGACAACTTAAACCTCAAAAAAAAAAAAAAAAAAATCAGTGAAAAAAGTGTGTGCAATATGTCCTTTATTTTTTAGTATTAATCTTCCTAGTCAGTGGCCAACATCTATAAGAGACACTTTACTGTGCATTAGACTAATCTAATACACGGTAAAGTATCACCGTCTACACGTGCATGGCAATTACTGTGCATTAGTCTAATGTGCTGTTTGCCAGTACCAATAGATATAGATATACTGCACATATAGACACGGACCAGGAGATTGCTGCAGGTCAGCCCAGGCAGCAAGGGACCACACTCCTGCCTGGCAATGCCCCAAGCTCCAAGGAGTGGGGGAAGCTGTCCCTGGCAACTCCCAACCCCTGGAGCTCCGGTTCAGCTATGGCCAGTTATGGCCAGTTCTCCTGGGAGGAGTGCATGAGGGTCCAAGCCACCAGCTGGAGAGGTGGGGCCTGTAACATCTGTACTGTACCCATCCTTCCTTCCCCTGGGAGCTGTGATTGCAATGGCAGTGGGGCTCAGAAATTCCTTATGGTGCATGTCCTGTAGCTGAGGGGGAGGAACTGGGGTTCAGGGCAGCAGGGACCACACAACAGCCCCAGGGCTGGGAGTTGCCCTTGCACTGCTGAGCAGCTGTCCCCATTCCCCTGCAGTACCTGGTATAATGGCAGAGCCTGGCCTGGCCTGTCACCAGCTGTGCCTGGCTTTGGAGCTCCTATAGAGTAGGGGCCCACACTAGCATGCTTCCAGACTTGCTGTCCCCTGCATGGTTACTACACCAGTGCAGGGATGCATCCAGTGTGCCTACAGAGCTCTTGGCAAGGGGCAGGCAAAAGCCTCTGCATCCCCATACCTGCCTGCTCCTTGTTCTATGCCCAGGAGCACCAGCCGCAGCTGATCCCAAGCTCCACGTGGCTGGGAGCTTCCCCTGCAACCCACGCTGCCCAGAGCCCAGGTCTGACCCCCGAGCCTCTTGCCAGCCCAGGGCTACCCAGAGGCCCAACAGCCTGGGGATGCCCACAATGCCCCTGCCAGCTCAGGGCTGGACCCTGGGGGAACTTGGATCTT